GTGAGCTGCGGGCACCGGGGGGGTGAGGGCGGGTGAGCTGCGGGCACTGGGGTGGGTGGAGGGTGGGTGAGCTGCGGGCACCAGGGGTGTGGAGGGGGCAGGTGAGCTGCGGGCACCGGTGGGAGTGGAGGGCGGGTGAGCTGTGGGCACCGGGGGGGTGGAGGGTGGATGAGGGCCGGTGAGCTGCAGGCACCCGGGCAGATGGAGGGCGGGGGCACTGGAGACGGCTCCTCTCCACGGCCTCTGCCTGCCGGCATCCCCAGCCAGATGGTGACTTCTGCGGCAACCACAGGGAGTGTAACAGCCAGTGCTGCATCCAGCTGAGGGAGGACAGCCCCCATCGCTGCATCCGCCGCTCCGGGATCCTGGCCCAGTGCCTGCCCCTGCTGAGTCTGCGTGGGAGGCTCAGCTTCATCGAGGGCACCACAGCGACCAGGCCGGGACCACAGCCGTGAGAGGTGGGCTCTGAACCCACGGTGAGGGCAGAGCACCCGGGCACCCTCTTCGAGAGGCCTCGCCTCACCGTCCATCTCATAGAAGGCTCCTGGGCTGGGCACGACTCCGCAGGGTGTGGGCACTGGGTCGGAGACCATCAGAGCCCGGGGGGCCGTGGAGAGGGGACCTGGGACCAGCCCCTGTGGAAGCTGGGGTTGGATGTCTTCGGCTGGAGAGGGAACAGCCTCACCAGCCTTGGAGGAGGACCAGCCCAGCTTCTCCCCTCCCTCCCCTGACCTTGGCTGAGCCTGAGGGGAAATCCATGGGACACGCTGTGCAGAGCCGTGGGGTCAGGGCAAGGCCGGGTTGCCAGTAGTGAAAACGCTGTGGGGGCGTGAGTGTGTGTTTGCTGCAGCCCAGAGCTCCCCGCTGGGGTGACAGGCCCCAGACCCTTTCTTTCGGCCCTCAGGTCCCAGCAGGCCCTGTCGTGGGTGCTGGGGCAGCAGCAGGCGCGTGCAGAGCTCTCAGGCATCCCGCTCGGGTGGGAGCTGAGGGAGGGTGTCGGCCTCCGGGTGCTGTCCCGCCCCCACGGGGCTGGCATGGGAGATGCTGTGGCCAGGCTCACTTCCTCCTTCCGTGGCTGCTCCGGGCCCCGTCCCCCTGCCCGGGTTCCTCAGCTCCGGCTTCTCCTTTAGTGACTGAGCTCGAACCTGGGTGCGAGGACCCGGCCTGGGCCCTGGACCGCGGTGTGCCGGGGGTGGTTCCCGTGGAAGCTTCGCTTGGGTTCGTGCTGCTCTCCCTGGGGCTCGGAAATCTGTGGAATTGAGTGGCGAAGAGCAGCCGGCGGTGCGAAGTGAATAAAGGCTCCCGGCTGAATGAGCACGCGTGTCACCTCCTCTGTGTCTTCTGAGTAACCGGCATAAAATCTGGAGTCAGGGAGAGGGGGTGTCTGCCGTTCAGCGCCACACGGGCCTCCGGGGAAGCCTGGGGAGGCAGAGGCCTCACTGTGGGAGGCGAGGCTGGGGTGTGGTCACCTCCCATGGTGGCCGCAGGTGAGAGTTGTTCCAGACGGGAACTCGCTGCCTCCCCTTCCCTGTCGCAGGCAGCCCCTGGCACACAGGCCCTTCCCCAGGCCAGCTGAGCTTCCGGGTCCTTCCTCCCCTGGGGGGATCCGGGTTCAGGCCGAGAACTCTTCCCGCAGCAGACACCCGCCTGGGCAGCACCCGGGCTCTGCGGCAGTGGAGCGGGCGGGGGGTGGGTCCGAGGGCGTCTGCGGCTCCCCTGGGAGGACCCGTGGCACAGCCTGAAGTTGCCAGTGTGGGTGACTTCCTTCAGACAAGGCGTGTGAGATCACGAACGGGGCGTTAGGCCTGAACCAGGCCTGCGGAGGACACAGCACACCGCGCGTGGGACGCTCACACCCGCAGCACGGACGGGGCCCTGCGGCGCGTCAGCCACCGTTCCTGACTTCACAGTCTTGGGTCGTGTTGACGAAACAGCAATTTGGTGACGTTTTCTATGGGATGTGGAAAGTCAACTCAGGCTTCCCACGATGGGGCTGTGGATATGCGTGGCTCAGGGGTGACCCTGCCTGGGCGTGTGTGGGCGACAGACACAGCTGCCATCGTGCGATTCCCGTAAGAAGTGAAAGCAAAGCTCCTTCCTGATGAGAAGCTGCTGAGAAAGGAATTTTCCGCACACACCTCCCTGACGCCGTCCACACCCCTGCGCCTGGGTCCGGAACCTTCAGGCAGATCGCCCGCCGCCAGCAGGACGTGTCAAGTGGGTGAGGTGGGCAGGGGGTGTCCCTGTGGGGGTGAGCTGGGATGTGGGGGCTGTCCTATTGGGGGTGAGCCGGGCACAGGTGCCATCCCATTGGGGGTGAACCGGGGTGTGGTGGCCGTCCCCTTGGGGTGAGCCCAGCAATACCAGGGAAAAGCTTCCCTGACTCACCTTCCCCATAGGTAGCTCCAGCTTCTTGGCACCCCTCCTCCCACAGAGACACTGGAAGCACATGGGGAACGCACTGAGTGGGACAGGTCTTGACCCAGTACAGTGAAAAATCTCATTTTCCCAAACTCCACAGAAACATCGACTGTGTGTGGTCAAGTCAGTTGGGGGCAGATGCCACACAGCAGGGGCACAGGGCGTCTAAGGTGACGGGTCGCCCACCGGTTCCAGGAGGAGCAGCCGGAGCCCAGCAGGCACCCAGAGCTTCAGGCAGCCCCTAGGGTGGACGCAGAAGGGGTTCCTGCTGGGCATTCAGGAGACTCTCTCTGGGTTGAGGCCGAGAAACCACGGCCGGGCCAGCCCTGTGCGCTGGAGGGCGGCACCTCTGGGTCTGCGCAGCTCGGGGAGCCCACCACACTGGGGTTTCCCCACTGCACCTGCGTCAACACCCCATGGCAGAGCGGCTCGACCCGTCCCCTCCTCCCGTGGCCCAGCGTCCTGCCCAGCTGGAGCCAAAACCAACGCCTCGTGCTGACACCCACAGCGCCTTCCTGCTCTCAGGGCAAAGCCTGGGTCAGGGCCTGCAGAGCCTGGGGGCCTGCCCAGCTTCCCCGGGGGCCTGCCCAGCTTCCCCGCTGGCCTCCCGCTGTGCTGCAGACGCCTGGCTCTCCCGCCGCCAGCTCTTCCGCGCCTGCCCAAGCCGGGATCTCGTGCGCCTGGCGTGGTCTCATGTACACCTTTGCTTCCCGTCCACCCTGTCTGCACAGCAATCTGAGGCAGCGGGGATGTGTCCTCTGGTTTTCAACGACTCCCCCAGCAGCTGGGAGGGTTCCTGGCCTGTATAGGCAGAGCGCCCTCATGAGAAGTCCAAACCCAGAGCGCTCCGAAATCTGAACCATTTTGAGCAGTGGCGTGAGCTCACAGGAAATGCCCACTGGAAGATTTTGCATTTCGGAGTTTGGATTTTCAGATGAGGGATGCTGAACAGAACACGTACAATTCAAGAATCTAAAATCAAAAGAGATTACAGGTGTGTGGCTCATGCCTGTAACCCAGCCCTCTGCGAGGCTGAGGTGGGAGGATCACGGAAGCCATCGGGTCGAGGCTGCAGTGAGCTGTGATCATACCACTGCACTCCAGCCTGGGCAACACAGCAAGAGCCTGTCTCAAAAAAGAAGAAAAGAAATGCAGAATCCTGGGCTCCCCAGGCCACCTGGTGAAGAGCCTTTATTCCAGCAATACCTGTGGTGATTTACTGCATGCTAAGTGCTTGGGAGCCCGGTGCTATGAAGTGGGCCCTGGGGCAGGGGGTGTACATGGGGGTGTGGTGTCTCTCTCAGTCCGCAGAAGAGAAACAGAAAAGAAGCACCAAGGGGGTCAGAGGTCAGCGACTCCTCACACCCTCTGCAGCCTGAGTTAAGTGCCATGGCGGGTGTGAATTTCCCCAGATAGATTTTCTCGTTGATGTAAAGTTACCCAAATAAGCTCTAGACCCCACGGCAGTCCGAGCTTGCCGAGGTCCCTTCAAAAGGGCACAATTCAGGGCCAAGCTTGGTGGCTCACGCGTATAATCCCAGCACTCTGGGAGGCCGAGACAGCGGGACTGAGGTCAGGGGTTCGAGAACAGCCGGCCAGCATGGTGAAATCCCATCCCTACTAAAAACATAAAAAATTAGCAGGGCATGGTGGCTCATTCCCGTAGTCCCAGCTACTCAGGAGACTGAGGCAGGGGAATTGCTTGAACCCGGAAGACGGAGGTTGCAGTGAGCCGAGACAGAATCATTGTACTCCAGCCTGGGCGACAGAGTGAGACGCCACCTCAAAATAATATATCTTTTAAAAAGGCGTAACTTAGCTGTCACAGGGTAACTTTAAATGGGCCCCTCATTTTACCTGCAAACTGAAAGGGGGTAACTCCCAGTCACTCTCTGACCCTTCCTTCCCTCCCCAGGGAGATGCACTGAACCCTCTCACAGCTGAAACTATGCAATCATTCTCCAGCCTGAACCCACAGGGCGACTCCCCGCCCAGGGCCCCCACCCTCCGCCGCTCACACGCTCCGTTTCTTTCCTTAACGCTCTATTCTTCCTGATCCGTTTTTTTAATTTTTAAAATCAGAAATGTTCCAGGAGCTAAACTGGCAAAGAGTCTCCTTTGTGGGTGAAAGGGAAGGAAAACAGAAAGCATTCCCATGCTCCTGAACCTCGTGGTGACAGTCTTGGGGACAGGTGACACACTCCCTCCCTTAGGGAAGAAGCAGGGTTTTGGGTCGCTGGCTGGCTGAGCATTCAGGCCAGCTAATTAACCAAGGCACAAAAAGCAGAGCCCGAGTTGAGAGACACGTTCTTCCAGGACATAAACGTGGAGACGTCGTGTCAACAGGGCGTTAAGCTGCTTCAGCGACAGGCGTGTGGAAAGAAGTGAAATAGGAAAAAAAGCTACATTTCAAGGTAAAGAAAATCAGCCAGAGGAAAGGTAAGGCCCGGTAAGTGTGAATAAGCTCACAGAGACGGGGAATGGGTGTGTATCGCATACACACGCTCTCCAAAGACTGTTCACTGGCCTCTGTCAGGGATTATTTGGTTGCAAAGCCTAGAAACACCCTCACAATCAGGAGACCCCCAGAGTGCTGGGATTACAGGGTGAGCCACCATGCCCAGCCTAAGATTTTTTTTAAGGAATTGGTTGTTTTGCTGTTGTTGTTTAGAGGTGGGATCTCACTATGTTGCCCAGGCTGCTCTTGCCCATAATCGAAATGTTCCAGTGCCTTCAGGTAGGACTTGATCCAGCAGCTCGGTGTTGCCACACTCTGCCTCACACGGTGGATCTGGCTCAGGCCGCAGAAGGGGCTGTGTCGGGTGACTGGTCATGTAGACAGCCACTTCCTCCCTCTGCCTGGCTGTGTCCCGGTCAGTGCTGAGGTCAGAGTGGACCAACATCTTGTCAATTGGGCTTTATGATTTTGGGGCTTTGCCAATGTCGGTTTTTGCCTTTGTGATGACTGTGAGAACAGTTTGAAGCAAATTAATAGTGCAAAATATTGAAGGAGAAAACGTCCAACTTACTATTTAAATCCCACTAGCAGAGTCAACACTGGCATGCAAATGGAGATTGCTTTCTTTTTTTTTTCTTTTTTGAGACGGAGTCTCGCTCTGTCACCCAGGCTGGAGTGCAATGGTGTGATCTGGGCTTATTCCACCTCCCAGGTTCAAGCAATT